TAGTACATTTGCAGTATGTAATAATCACTGGGGGTTAGATGTACCTAACACACCTTAATCCTTTTTATGTCCTCTTCCCCTCCTCTCCCTCCCATCAGATTTTTTAAAAATTAATTTTATTGATACATTTTAGGTATACGATATAATGACATATATCATTGGAAATTTGCACCTTTGCATACTCTTGGTTCTTATTTTTTCCCCTTCCCCTGCTCTCCCTTCAACCCCTCCATCCCTCCCTATTTACAGACTTTGTTTCCATTTTGTCATTTTCTCATATTAACTCCATTCCCTTTTTTCCTTTCCCCTACCCTCCCACTTCCCCTTTGCCCCTTTTCTTCCTATTCCACATTATCTATTATACCTTTTAATCCATATGTACATTTTCAATTTCTCACACTAGAGAAGCTATTTGGTATTTACACATGTGTCCTATTAATTTCACTTGAGTATCGCCTCAATGTTCATCCACTTAGAAATGTCTCTAATTTCTCATTTTTATGGCTGAGTAGTACTTCATTTTATATAAAAAAAAGAAAAACATTATCTTTATCCAGTATCCAGTTGATGGGCATTTGGGCTGTTTCCAAGTTTTAGCTATTACAAACTGTGCTGCTATGAACATGGGTGCACATATATCGCTGTGGTATGATTCTTTTAATTCTTTGGGAAGATACCCAGCAGAGGAATAGCTGGATCAAATGGAACTTCCAGTCCTAGTTCTTTGCGGTATCTCCATACTGATGTCCACAGTGTTTGCACCATTCTACACTCCCACCAGCAGTGGAGCAGTGTTCCCCTTTCCCCATCCTGTCAGATTTTTGATAACTAATTCTAATTAGTTATCTTTTCAGATTTTCTATTTATGATTGTCTAGATAAATTTCAGGTTTCTAGGAATTTATCTGGTTTATTGACATATAATTGTTCATAATACTTATAATCCATCATTTATGTAGAATCATAAGTAATCTTCCCACTTCCATTTGTTTTCAAAGAAATATCTTTTTAAAAATTATTTTGCTCATGCTATAATCTTTATTATTTCATTTCTTCTGGTAACTTTGGGTTCAGTTTATTCTTTTAAAAGTTAGGCTGTTTGAGAATTTTTTAAAATGCATTTATTTCTGTAAAATGCCCCCCATCATCAGGGCTTTTGCAGAAGCCTACAGATTTTGGCATGTTTCACTTAAGTGTCAAAGCATTTTCTAATCTTCCTTGTGATTTTGTCTTTCATGCATTGGTTGTGTTAATTGCCAAAATTTGTGAATGTTGCTGTTCGTCTCCTGTTACAAAATCCACATTCACCCCATCCTGGTTGGGAAATACTCTGTAACATCTAATTTGCAGCCCAACCCACATTCCATCCTAGGAAACACCCTGTGTACCGCAGAAGACGGTATGCTGCTACAAGGGTGAAGAGTAGTGTGCTTGCCTGTTACAGGTAGCAGACAACTTAATACGCTGTTTAAGTGTTCTCTCCTCTTATCTTCTGCCTGGTTGTTCTATTATGAGAATGTGGCATTGAAAGCTTCAACTATTACTGTACAAGGTGTGACTGCAAATTACAGTGAATGTTTAAAAACTTTTAAAGTTTATTATAAGCTGGGTGCAGTGGCAATGCCTGTAATCCCAGCACTCACGAGGCTGAGGCAGGAGGATCGCCGTGAGTTCAAGACCTGCCTGGGCTACATAGTGAGTTCAGGGCCAGACTGAAGTATATAGGGAGGCTTGCCTCAAAAAACAAACAAAGTTTATTATAGTAAAAGACACATTAACCCTAATGCCATCCAAATGCTCCCTTTCACTCCAAACACACTTACACTTGCCACTTTCTCTTTTTTGGTACCAGGGATCGAACTTAGGACCTTGCACTTGCAAGGCAGGCACTGGCACCACTGAGCTAAATCCCCAGTCCCATACTTGCCACTTTCTGAAGCCATTCTGGAAGTCCTGAGTATCTTTATAAGGCATGGTAAGTGTTGTTACCAGGTGCCATCCAATGGAAAGACAGGGTCATAAAAACATCAGTGTTCCTTCACTCACTTTATTCACCGGATGGGGCACTGTGTGACTTCTGGCTCCTGCCCAATGTGAAGATGACCATGAAAAGTAAATGTTTTTGAATCGATTCAAGACACTGAGGCAGCCATGACTGTGCAACTGAAGACACTCACCAAAGAGAACTCAGTGGTGAGAACAACGGGATGTGTATTCAGAAGGGGGGCTGGGGATGTAGCTCAGTGGCGCCATGCCTGATGATTGCCATATGATAAAAGTCCCGGTAAATTGGAATGAGATTCAATATGTTCAATAAAAAAGGGTGCTGTCCATTTACAGATGGCTTTTTGTAATCTTTGAAATAAATTTAATAATTCTGGCTCCAATGAGGAATGAACTATGGCATTTTCTAAGTGCTGAATTAAGTAAACTGCATAGGAAGAGTCACAATATTTAAGGTCTGTGATGGAAAGTTCTCTATTACATAAAAAGTGGCTGTTAATTCAGATCTTTGAACTGAAAGGCCACGAGTTAAAATGATATGTTGAAAATTTTTACTCCATACTGCTCCTCTCCCCTTAAAGGAGCCACTGTGAAAAATGTAACTGCTTCCTTAAGGGGTGGAAATTTGGTTATTACAGAGAGAATAAATTCATGTTGCATAAAAAATTGTAGCAAGGGGTCATTTGGATGATTATCAACTTGGCCGATAAAATCTGCAAATGCAACTTGCCAGTAGATGGCAGTCTGTAGCAACGATTGCATCTTCTAACGGCAAAATTATAAATTGAGGATCAAATCCAAATATTTGACATGCCCTATTTCGTCCTATGGAAACGACCTTTGCAATTTGCCCCACATACAACTGTAGTGTCCTCACCAACTGATTAGGTAAAAGTAACCCCTCCGTGGGAAAAACTTGTTCATCATAATACTGTCCAAGTAGTCCTGTGGGAGAATGAGGAGTCTGGAGTACAAACAAGTATACAGGGTAATTAGGATTAATTCTAAAAACCTGTCAATCATGAATGCTTCTCTCAATTAACTGTAGCTCTTGTGCCTCCACAGTTAAGCTTTGGGGAGAATTTAAATCTGAATTTCCTTGTAATATGTTACATAAATGTTGTGACTAAAAGGTTACAATACTCAATTTAGGTCTTAGCCAATTAACATCTCCCAACAATTTTTGAAAATCATTTAAGGTTTTTAATTTATCAATTCAAATTTGTACTTTTTGAGGCTTTGTAGTTCTTTCAGCTATCAGAGTACCTAGATAGTGGTAAGGAGCAGATAACTGCACCTTTTCAGGGGTTACAGAAAGGCCAAATTTAAGTAAATCCCATTTGGCATGGGCAAAAAGCCTGTAAGAGTCTCTTGTTTATCAGATGCTATCAATAGATCATCTATAAAATGCAACAAATATATGAGGGAATTTCCTTCAAGTGGCCTGTGAAGCCTTAGGCACAAACCACTGACAAAGCACAGGACTACTTGTCATTCCCTGGGACAAAACAGTCCACTGAAACTTCTTCACAGGCTCTGGGAAATTTATACTTGGACTAGAAAAAGCAAAATGAGGCCTATCTGCTGGAAACAAAGGAATATTTTTTTTTAAGTCTTTCAAATCAAGAACAATTATTGGCCATTCTTGTGGAATAGCACTTGGGTTTGGGAGCCCTGGCTGTAAAATTCCCATTGGGAGGAGGCTAGCATTCACTGCATGCAAATCTTGTATTAACCATTTTCCTGATTTGGGGAGGATGATAAAAACTGGTGTGTTCCAGGAACTGACAGAGGGCTCAAGATGTCCTTCATTTACCTGTTCAGCTACCAAATGATTGAAAACCTGTTGTTTCTCCTTAGTAAGGGGCCACTGATCAACCCACATAGGACTATCAGGTTTCCACTGTAAAGGCAGTGCCGCTCTGGGCACAGAAACCACAATGGCCCTCATTATGAATTTGATTCATATCCAATTCCATAATAATTGTTTTTTACCTGAGGCTCTAGGGGCTGTTTGTCCCTGAAGCTGCCTGCCTAATCCCTTTGCTTCCTGATAACCCATTCTGTCCATCACATGCCTGGCTGGAGATATGGCAGGAGGCAAGGTTGTGATTACCACCTTCCATTCCTTCAGTAAATCTCTGCCCCGTAAGTTTACCGGAATGGGTGCAGTGTTGGGGCACACGTGTCCTGCCTGTCCATCTGGGCCCTCATAAGGCAGTGGCACAGTACTCTGTAATACTCGCTGTGGTGAGCCTAGCGCCCCCAGGGAGGTAGAATCTTTAGGCCAAAATGGTGATGAGATGATAGTTTTATCTGCTCTAGTATGTAGGTCATGTAAAATTCCTTCCGTTAATTTTAATCTTACATATAGGCTTGGGAATTCCTATCAGGGAGTTCCTATCCGGGGAGTTCTGAGAGGCATTACTGGCAATGTGTCTTTTACTGTAATAATTCCAAATGTAAACATTTACTGTGTTTTTAATTCACACCTTGTATACATCCCCAACCCCAGTGCATTTCTCTCTTAAGCATCAACAACTCTTACTTTCTCTGTTTACTTCTTCAACTCTGCCCAATAAATATCTATGCCTCTCAATGGTGGATCCTAAAATTCTTTTTTCTGTAAAGAGAGTCAATGAACCTACTCCACGAAGGGGCACAAGTTGTGGTCCCCATCTCCTCTTTGGCGGACCTCCTCAGACCCTATCATCCAGTGACATACCCATGTATACCTATGTTCATAAAGATTCAGTGGTATCTTGGTTCACGAACTTGATTCTTGCCATGATTCTGGTCACAAACCTAGTTAGACAAGAACCAAATCAATTTCAATGGTTAGGTTCAATGTTGACATTATGGGGAAATTTGATTCAGTTCTCAACCAGTTTGGTTTGCAATCAGAATCATGGAGAGAATTGAGTTCGTGAACCAAGGTACCACTAACAACTGGAGCAACAGAAATAGCTCCCAAGCTGGAAATAAACCACACTTCCATCAGATAATATATATTTTATTTGCACACTGGAATACCACACAATCATGAGAATGAACCATGTGCAAATGCATGTAATAAAAATCTCACGAACACATTGCTGAGCCACAGAAGTCAGATACAACAAATGCATAATGTTTAATTCCATTCACATAATGCTCCTAGAACCAGAAAGTGGTTAGTTACAGCAAGGGAAGGTGTCACCAGGAGGGAGACTTACAGGGTTGGAGACAGGACTGCATGCAGGTGATCAGCTTGTGAAAATCACTGACATGACTGCATAGATGTGACACTTGCCTCTGGTTGGTCCTCAGCTGAGACTGAGAAGTCTCCTGGTGCAGCTCCACAGCCAAAGCAGAAGAGCACCACCCCTGACACAGCCCTCAAAAGCCTGGCTCTGAGAAGCAGGTCTCCTCCCACTGCAGAGTTCAAGGTTCTCTGACCCCCACCAGTGCATTAAGGGCTGGAGACCTCTCTACTCTCCCTCAAAGCCTCTCATCCAGGAATCAACACTTCTCTCAGGGAGCATGGGAAAAGCACTATTTTGCATCAAGAGGCCAGGGCCCCAACAGTGAACACTCAGGCTGCTGGTGGTGGCCAGGTGGGGTCTCACATGCAGCAAGGGTGCAGGCTGCCCGGGTCAGCATTCTCCCTCTCTCACTTTCTTGTCATTGCAATGGGAATGATGGTGCTTACCTCAGAGTTGTTAGAGATTGAGATGAGTTACCAGAGGTGAAACACTTAGAGAATAACACAAGTTAGGAGCTTCACAAACATGAGCTGTCAACTCGGCTTCATCCCTGGAATACTGCCCCTGAGGAAGACAGCCAAGCATTTCTAGGGAGAGAGGCTGGGGTTCACCCAAAGTCCCCACAGCCAAGCCACGAACAGGCATTTAGGTACAACTCCTATCAGGGATCAGCTGCCTGGGTTTGGCCTTTGCAGACTTAAGGACCTTTGCAGTGACTGGCTCCAGATAAGCCAAATATACAGAGCCTGAGGTAGACAACAGAGAGCCAGTTTACACAGTGAAAATAACCCTTAGCAGCTAGAATGTACGCACTGGCACTTTCACCCCACACACAGGCCTAACAAAAGGCTCAATCTTCATCAGAGACATGCTGGGTACAGATAAAACAACTTATGCAACGAATCAAGGCAGGTGTGCCAGGGAATCTTCCCAAGAGAGGTAGTATGGCTGGGACCTGTCATGGCCAATAGGCTTTTCTGCTTTTCCCTGCACCCTCCCTCAACCTCATCAAAGTCTGTACCCCTCTGCTCTGATTCCCAATGGACAAACGAAATCAGACAGTAATCCTGTTTCTTCAACTTCCAAGTGTGGGACAGGGGAGTGGGCCCAGAATCTCTGTACTCACAATCAACCATCCAGTCTACACAGGCTCACACTCCTTAAGGGAGTTTCCCTCAACATCTTTCCTGTCCGAGGCCAAGCGTCCCCGGGAGTGACACTAGACCCCTTGCTTGTGGGCCCTGCAAACATGGGCTTGGGTGGCAATCTGCAGGCTTGCCCGCTCTCCCTAGCAGAGGGTGCCACCAGTGCTGGCCACCACTGCTGGCAGCGACTCCTCCTGAACACTGGCCACTGTACCTGTCCCTGAGGCAGATCCCAGGCCCAGAGAACACTATGTCAGTGCTTGCAGCCCCACTCCCAGAGCAGGCTGCCCCATTCTACAAATGGCTGACCAGATCTTCATCTCTAACTCTGCCCTGGAGGATAAGCTGCACAGCAGGTCTGGGACCACTTGACAACTGTCTCCCATTGTGCCCCCAACAGGGAAAGGCCTGCAGAGTGCAGGAGAGGACGGCCCTGCCCCTTTCACCTTTACCCGTCACTGCACAGACTCAAGCGGCACCTACAACGGCTGCACTATGCCCAGAGCGCTTCTCCCACTAGCTAGCTTCTCCCTTCTCTACACTAACAGCCTAAGTAGCTCCAGTTTTTCTCTTCTCTCTACTTTGGTTTACCACCAATTACTCAATCCCTTGGGGGATTCTTCTCTCCCTGAAATGGCCCATGGAGTGGAGAGGGCTACACAAGACTAAAAGTACATGTATTACCTGTTAACTGAGGCTGTGACACAGCAGCATAGGATGGGATGAGAATGTTCTCTGCACCCACCAAACTTTTCAGCCAGCAAGAGCTCCCTCCAGCACTACCACCTCTGCCTCTGGCAGCTACCCCCAAGTTTGCTACTCAGCTTTGCTAATCTAACACCATGAACAACCAACAGATACAAACTAAGACTGTTTTTAAAACAAGTATTATAGATAATTATAGAAAGCAACCGTCTTTGTAATCCATGCTTTAAATAAGTAACGTAAAAAAGAATACACAATTGCTTTGCTTTTAAAGTTTCGCAGTACTAAAAACTGGCAAGTTTTCTAAATGCTGACTTAATGTAAGGATAACAGTTTATGTAATCATCAGTTTTGAAAAAGCTGTCAATTACACAACTGACTTTTTTTAAAAAGTAGTTGAGACTGAACCCAGGGCCTCATACTAGACAAGTGTTCCATCACTGAGCTATATTCCCAGCCCTTTTTATTTTTATTTTGGTATACTAAGTTGCCCAACCTGATCTCAAACTTGTGACCCTCCTGTCTCAGCCTCCCAAGTAGCTCTGATAACGGGCTTATCACCAAGGCTGGCCATAAATGCCAATCTTAATGACAATTATAACAATGATTCTGAAATGACAAATGAAAATCCAAAACAGATCAGACAATGGCTCCTACTGTGCAAAAAGCACTGATGTAACAGAGGAATATGAAGCACTTATTTCTGGGCTGAAGTAGGTATTCAGCATCAGTAACCTGGACCTAACATCAGTTAGGACTAATCCAAAGTGCATATTCCTATTGCAACTAAATGTATCAATCTGAAAAAATCCAGCAGGCATATGGGAGGGGGGGTGTCATTAAATCTGGAGAAAAGCTACACCACAGCATCCCTATTTGATGAAGAGGGTAGGCATGGTACCTAGTAACAATCTTGATGGCTGGGTACAATGATTACTATGGCCAAAAATTCTTAACAGAACGCCAGAAAATCCCAAAATAACTCTATGCTGCCATCTCAATGTTCTAAACAATTCCAGAACTGCAGTACATTAGCAAATAGTTATACAGAAATACAACAAACAAGAAATTCTAGCTCAGTAACTTTTACAACAATCTAATATCGAGTTTTAAACTTAAAACTACAGCAATATATACAGAACATTTACATTCAAATGTACATAACACAATCCATTTAGCCTTAAAACTACTATGTGACAAAACTGTAGAATGAGCCCCCACACAAGCAAGCTAATGTGCTCTATCACCAGGTCCACAGCTGCAGGAAGTGCACACTGCAGACACACACTTGACAAACCGGAGCACTGTGGAAAGTCCAGCCGCTTTAACATGTCATATGATATAACTTTCATGAGCGAACACAGTACAGGCAAATGAATTCTTAGGACATTACTTAAAAAATAAATTTTTAAAGATGAAGGTCCTAACTCATCTTTATATATACACGCAAAGCTGATGTATCACAGACAACAAATGTTAGATACACTACAGTTTCCAGCAGCAGCCTGCACATTTAGAATTTATGGTTAAAATGCACACAGAGAGAACTGTCAACTCTATCTGAGACGGACGTTCAAATCTGCAGGGGATGGAGCTGCCCCAGTGCCTGCGAACTTACTGCTGCTTCTCAAAGGCAAAGACCAAGTAAATACCTGGGGAGGAAAGAGGGCAGTCAGGCTAGCTTCACACATCCTCAGAATAGCAACACAACAATCTCAGCACTGTTCATAGCTGGGTGAATACTCAGGCTTCCAAACTGCTTTTGAGGAAGAAACACTTCATTCATTGAAAAAGTTCTATTATTTGAGTCATATTTAGGCAGATACAGAATCATCTACATTTACTTCAAAACAAGTATCTACCTAGACAAAATGCAGACCATGGAAAAGCCAAGTCAGTAGCTCTAAAAAACTCCAAAAATGGCTTAAGGTAAGAAAACCTAAAAGTATAAAAGCAAAGAAAACTAAAAAGCATTGTATGAAGCGCAAGGACCCAAGTTCGATCCCCAGTACCTAAATAAATAAATAAATAAAAGTAAAAATAAAAACCATTGTATGACTCAAATCCTTTTACCTGGCACAAGGGAGGTAGAATTATTACATAACAAGCAGGAATAATTTAAATTTTCTATTAAAAAACTTTAAAACTAATGTATATTTTTAAAATACAGGGAATACAAAATGTAAAATCGGTGAGAAGAAATACATGGAGCACATATAACATGACACAGCAAAATCCAGCCACTTACCTCGCTGCTGGGCTGCAGGGTCTGACAAGGAAGTTGAGTCACAAGGCACATGGCAACAGATGATCAGAGAACCTGGGTACCCAGCCCCAGTGCTAATGCTTCTGTGGGAAGCCAGTCCTAAGGGTACTGCCTCAAGCAAGGCACCCTGCTGTGGTGCATCTCCCCACAGAGACGGGTCAGGAACATGAGTCCCTGTGTGCATCACAGGATGTCTACCCTGCCACATCTGGTAAGATACCCAGTCTGCATGGCAAGAGACTAACCCTTAAAACATTGCCAGCTGTTGAGGGCACGCACTAGGATACTTGAAAGTAATCCAAACGAAGGCCATCTAAGCTCAGCTGACTTTGAAGGTGGGACAGACAGATGAAGGCCGGGGACAGCCTCCTGAGCCTCCCTTTTCCAATCCACCCTGTACAGCAGGGCTATACCAGCCTCACAGACACTACTTGGGCCATGGCACTGTGCTACTCCTTACTGACTAGCTTCAGTCTTCCTTCAGTGAGGTAACTGTGGCTGTCAGCACAGGCTGGTGTACACGGACGGGGCAGAGTGCTCATCAGCTCTAGAGTCAAAGACTCCTCCCCTCGGCCCCACCAGTGCTCTCCTGCAGTACCACCCTGCTTACTCCACAGAGCCATCCGAAGCCACGGCAAAGCAGCCCTCAGCACCCTTCTGTCCTAATGGAGGCTCGGTCACCTTACTCTACCAAAAGTTGGGTACAGATTGGGATGCACAGTCTGCAACTCTCTAAAAGTCCTCAACATCCGTTCGCAGGGATTTCCATGAGGCCACATAAACAATCACCTTGTGCTGGCCACAAGGTTCTCTCGCTGCTCCCTCACCTGTGAGAGACACCTGACAACCACAGTGTGCTCAGGAAGTGCTTCGAGGGCAGTGTGAGTTGCAGCAGAGGCCCAGCTCCAGCAGTACCAGCAAGTGTACAACACTCAGTCTACCAATGCCTGCGTCACGGCTCAGACTTCACTCTTTTCATGACACTCTCCCTCACCTGTTCTTCCCATTATAGTAACTATAGCACTTAAAAAGTTTGCCCGGGAGTACATTTTACTGGCATCTACTTCTTCCATGACACTGTACAAGGCAAAGACTTAACTTGTTTGCCTTTTTATCCCCTGAAGTCCATTCACAGAATTTTATGTATGTCAGTACTTGATAATTCATATTTAACAGCCTGTCTCTGCCACTCATGCATCAACATAAGCAACAAATGCTTAACTACACGGTGGGTAGGGGTGGACAGGAACACACTAACATCCGTGCCTCAGGGCACCCTGTGGGGACCGGGACCCTCCCCAGTGAGGCTCTGCTGGAGACCTGCCAGGCCTCAGGCACTAAGAGGCCTTCGCATTGGGCCTGTTTGCTGTCTGCACCCTTCCTGCGGCCTCAGTCAGCACCCAGCACTGTGCTTTCACAACAGCATCAGCACAGCTAGGATTTGGAAAACACAGCAAGTTTCGTGTAAGCCACTGAGTACAACAGAATCCCAAGGCAGACACCAGACCGAGACAGCATTCGGGACATGCAGGCAATGAACATGTTCCACGTGCTCCTGAGCCATAGACCACTCAGCTGAACAACAAAGGGGGTTAGACTCACAGGGGCACAGGCATACAGTATAAAAACACACAACACCTGAAACATGCCAGAGAAATTCCATACCCTACAGAGCTGTCAGTGAACCTGCACTGATGATACTCACTTGTAGCTTCCCATTCTGATTTACTTAGGGTTCCCTGAAATTAGAGAAAGAAAGAGAATGTTAGATTCAATATGGAAATAAGCATATGCTTGTCTTTCAACTGTGGACTGAACTGGCCAACACCCCTTAGCTTCTCTGAACATACACAAACAGTTGACTCTTAACAGAATTATGATCTGACCCTAACTGAATGCTACCTTCTCACCAGTACCCCATCTCACTGAAAGGGGGTTTGTGTACAGAGAGAGAAAGGGGGGGGGGAGGGGTGAAAAAGAGGCATCCACCTTAAATTTTTAACTTGGAAAATGAAAAAAATTAAAAGCTTCTCTTGATTCATCAAATAGCATTGCAGGAGGGAATGACATTCTCATGTTTTTCTGAATAAGCCACCAAGTCAATACATATGATACAAAGGAAATGAATTATATTAAACATTTCAACATGATCACATGTATGCGGCACTGCACATGCCATCTATGTGACAAGATCCTGTGGCAGTTCTAGAACCTAACTGGTCTGAAAAAGTGACAAATGTGAGCACTGTTCTAGGACATCAGGGAAGTGCCATGAGAATAGTTTCTATCAATGACAAAGTCACAGCTACAGCTGACATCAGGCATGGTTACACTGTAATTTTTTTCAAAAGGTAAACTTTCACATAGAAATTAGTGAAAAGGAAGATGCACCTTTCCCCCATTTAGGTTCACAAAGCTCTGAATTCCACCTTGGACACTGAGTCAGCAGTGCCCTGAAGAGCGGGGACCCTTGTAGCACAAGCCTCTTGCCTTCCCCCACCTGCACAGACGCTTCAGACACAGCACTCCATCCTCAGTTCATGGGAACAAATTTATTCTATGCAACGTGGCATCAAAAGCCATCTGAACTTAAGGGAAACAGACTACTGTACATCTGATTTGAAATTCAGAGAGCACAGTATTACAAACAAGTGCAGTAATCGCTTAAATGTCCATATAACACGCTTTTTCTCCATTCCCTGTAAAATACTTTCCAAAATGAGAACTCACCAGTGGTAACCTCACTTGACTATTCTTCATGAATGCTGCTGCGTGCTCATAATCACCTGCCTTCTCAGAGTTAAGTTTAGAGTTCTCATTTGCAGGGTATGGCTGGGGAAGCAAATGAAATTGCCAGTCAAGATACTGTATTACACTGAAATTTACAATCTAACTTAACACCATAAACCACTGAAATAAGAATATAAGAATTACTTCAAAACTACAAGCAACATATATTTTTGAAATATGGGAAAAAAAACGCGAGAGCAAGAATTATCTTGTAAAGTAGGTATTATGATCAGCTTTTATCACAATCTTGGAAAACATACAGTGAAAATAAACTGTAATTTAAGTACAACAAAAGGCGGTCATTCGGCAGCATACACCTATTATTCTCTTTGATTGCTGGTCAAGAGCTGCTTGTTATAATACAAAGCTTAAAAAACATATTCATTAAGATGTAAATTTTTAGGGCCGGGGATTTAGCTCAGTGGTTTCACTGCCTGCTATGCAAGTGTAGATCCCCGGTACCAAAAAAAAAAAAATGTAAATGTAAATTTTTTTTTTTGGTACCGGGGATCGAACTCGGAACCTTGTACTTGTGAGGCAGGTGGGGGAACCAATGAGCTAAATCCCCGGCCCAAGAGCTAAATATTAACGTGACAGTGATTCAGTAGCCATATAAACAGCAATAAGAAATAATATAAAAAGTCAACAGAGAACCTCATTTGAGGTAACAAAAGATGTGGGTTCAAGAAGGAAAATAACTAAAAAAACTGTTGTTTCAAATCCAGCATTACGTTAACCCATTTTAAGTACAGTCATTTCTCTTTGTATGAAAAAGTATTTTCCCTAATACGTATAACTCAAACTAGAAGTTACATAAAATGTTTGTTGGTTGTTTTTTTTTTTGGTACCGGGGATCGAACTCAGGTCCTTGCACTTGCGAGGCAGGCGGCGGAACCACTGAGCTAAATCCCCAGCCCTACATAAAATGTTTAATACAACAACTACCTTCCCTACAAAGGGTAATACATTCTTTCTAATACCTTTGTCTTACTGTGACAAACTACTCTGAAACCTCAGTCTCCTTAGGGAACTTTTAAGGAAAGGACCCGCAAATGCCTACTTGTTCACTATCCCTTTCTCTGTAAGTATCCCACAGCATGTGCATGCACTAGAAATCAAGCTATTTATTTGCTATTTTAAAACTACTGGGCTATTTCGAACTTTCACATTGTGAGCGTTAGCAACTTTACCTTTTATTACATCTTAAGATAAGGGATAAGAGAATCAATACTTGCTAAGTTTTCTTTTAATTTAACCTCACAGTTCTAGTTTCAGCATATTACAAAGCTTCAGGACTTTATTTTGCAGTTATCAAACCATTCTGTTGAAAATCTGCTTGGCTGCCTGTCAGTGAGCATATTCTGCTTCTCTTCTGCTGGTCATTTTGAAAGACCAACCAATACATGACCATACAGCTATAAATCGACTGTTTTCAAAACCTACTAAAATGTACACATCCTAGTGTGTCCTGTCAAAGGATTTATTATTCCAGAACTGTGCCTGGAGTAAGTGCACTGGTGAAAACAGTAAGCAGGTGAGAGGGTTTCATAATCTCGGCTCCTTGATTATGTCTGGGGCTTCCCAACTTCAGCCCACAGCTCACATCCTTCACTTTATAACTTCAGCGCCATGGCCCAAGTCTTTCCCCAGGTCAAGACTTTAGAACTTTTGCTCTGTGGCATTCATCTTTCCGTTCTTCTCTCCCTGTGCCGAAGCAGCTGCACCCTGACCATTCTACTTCTGACCTCAGTATCTCTCCAAACTATCTTCCATAAGTCACCCAAACAAAGTCCTAACCCTAACAGGCTGTGCCCCTCACCTCTGCCATGGCCTTCACAGGCCCTAAGAAGTGATTGGCAAGAAACAGAGAAAAGACCAAAGGACTTTCAAGCTAGGTGGCATAGTGCTGGGTCACAGCCTCAATGGCAGGGCTGGGGAGAAGCAGTGTAAGAAAGAAAATCCACCATTAACAGTACTTCCTCACACCCCTGCAAGCTCCTGTTTCTCAGCCTTGCTCCTGTCCTGCTCACTTCTCCCTTTCCAAAAGGCCCTTTTGTGTGCTCACTGCATTTCAAATATTTCATTCACTAATGCTGCTACTCTCACATCACAATGAACTCCCCGACTGCATGTCTGTCTCCTTGATAAACCCTAAGGTCCTCAACACCCCACATCCTGAAATTGAAGTAATTTTAGAATCCTCTGACTATATGCTAACAGGAAACATAAATACTTGGTCATGTACATGTAAAGTGGGTCAGGGAGGGGCAATGCATTCAATGTACACAGCCTGTGGGGACTTCACACACATTCACACACACACACACACACACACACACACACACACACACTGGGCTTCTAGTCTCCTCTCCCTCAAGATAACAAAAACTCCTATTGCTCCTAATACAAAGAAAATGAAAATATTCCCAATTCTAAGATGTAGGAAACATAATCACTTTATTGATTACAGATTTGAAAAGACAACTTAGGATTTAAAGAAAATCTTCCCACTCTAACTTTGACACGGAACTCTTGACCGTATGAAAGGAAGATTATCCAGAGTTAGCAGCTCTGTGACTCTGAACAATGTCTTCTCTGAACATCGTCTTCTCCAGGCCTCAGTGCCCATTTAGAAGTCATGAAAAATGACCACTCTGCCTACTTCACGGAGTAATCAGGACAGTAAGACATGGTATGCTTAATGTACCGAAGAGGACATTCTAAATGAAACAAACACTGAAGTTTGATGCTCACTTGAGGAGTGTAATTCTTTACCTGATTCTGACCAGTAACAAATGCATGAGCTGGGTATTTTAGATCTGTTCAATTAAGCACTGCTGGGTAGAGAAGAAAAGCAATCTACATTGTGTACTGCAAGTCTCTTCTGTAAAACTCTCCAGAGGAGAAACTTTTGGCCATCATCAAAGAATAGTTATGAGTGGGTCGAGCTTGGCACGGACCCTGGCCAGGAAGGTTCTAAAGTACGGATGTACTCAGCACGTAAGCACTTCTCAGCCGGGGGAAATGACTCAGCAGAAGACATGTACCCACTGTTAGGTATTTCAGAGCCCCCACAGAGCAAGCCCCCTCCTCTCCTTTCCCTTTACCCCACTCCGGCCACAAGGAACAGGGAGCTACCGCATAGCTAAGGCATGACCTCCCTTTGTTAGTGACTTTCTGCCTAGTTAAGGTCTTTCTGCCCCACTGGTTTCTTAATCAGATATTCCAGTGAGACAGAGCTTCCCCCTAACCGAAACCTATTGTTACATACCCCAGCCCCAATCACCCACCCCCAGGAGTGGACTAGTGCTCTCCCACCTGCAAGATCCCTACATAAGCTTCCAGCTCGGCGCATACAGCTGCCAGACTCCATTCTGTGAGTCAGCCTGGCAGGCTGCAGACAGCCCGCCCCAATGAAGCTTGCTTGGACGTCTGTGTGTGGCCCCCTTCTTCGGCGACCTTTCACCCACAGCTGTCACAACTGAGGCACAGGAGAGCTATGAGCAGGCATGGGTGGGGCGAGGCCAGGGACAATAAAGAGCAGCATCTTACAGCCCCACTGTCAGTGACAGGGAAGCCCTGTTTTAAAGCAGCTCCCCTCAGAAAACAGAGCTAGATCACTGCATCATTCATCCACCAGGTACTTACTCATCACCAGCCATGGAAATTTCCATGTCTGACTCTTCCTAGGTGCCGAAGAGTGCACAGCAGTTATTATCATACTCCTCAATACATTTATACATATCTAAACAGCCTTGGAAGATCTCAAAAACAACCAAACAAGTTCACTGTGATTTTGAATTTTTATACATTTTCTAAGTACTCACCTCTAGGGCCTGCATTCGTTTTAACAGCATTTTATTTTCATTGTTCTTAATCTTTTCTTCAAAGAATTCCATAAATGTTTTTTTGTAGACTAGTTTCATACTGTACTTCTTCAGCATTCTGTTCAAAAAAGATTACACAGTGAAAAGGGTTCCAAATGGTTATAATTCCTCAATAGCTTACTTTGCTATAACAGCAACATCTGGGCTTAACTAAGAAAGCTACCATTTCCTTCACAGGCTGACAATAAAGAAATGCAAAATGAAGAGCAACGACCCAAATCCCTGGGACAGCACACAGCTCTTCCAGTTTAGCCAGCAGATGGGGAAGTACAATGAAAGCCAGCCTCCGGGCTGTAAGATGCGGCCAGGTTGAGGGAAAGTAGGCCAGGTTGAGGGAAAGTCGACTGATTCCATTCTATTTTATTTCCTCCCCCACAGCTGCATGGATAACAGCTGCCAATTTCCTTAAAAGATTCACTTTTATGTCCCATATCCTCTTAATTTTTACCTTACATCTCAGGCTGCTTCTCTGCAGTTATACAGGGCTGGGGGGGGGCGCGTGTTTTTTTACCTAACTTCCAAATCTCAGGTTTTGAAGACTAGGGTCTGGAATGGAGTTAATCATCCTTGCCCTAGGAGGTCTGCTCTCTTTTGTCACATGCACTTACTCCACTGCGTATCAGACCTGTGCCCTATGTGTGTAAAGACATTCTCTAACTTCTCATGTCCAAGGTTGAACTTCACAAGATTGTTTGTCTGTCATTCTCCATTACTGCAGTAAACCTATCTGTCTTCCTCTTCTAAATCCACATCACACCAAGTCCTTCAAAAGTTGCTCACCTCCTACTCTGTCTGCCACCATCCTGTTCCCGTAACCACCATCATCTGGCTGGCTGTACCACTCCAGGAACCTCTTCACTTGCTCCCTACCTTCCAGTATTAAAAGTCCCTCAATAAATTTCCGAATGCAGTCAGATTAAGCTTCCAAAAATACAAGTGTGGTCAATATCACCACCCAACCTGAACACCCTTCGTAGGGGTCCAACGTACCTAGGACACAATTCAAAAGCTCTGAATGTGGCATCTGCAAGGGATGCTGCCTCCACTCAGGCAGGTGGGTCCCTCGTTCCCTAAGGTGCAGTCACAGTGGTTTCCTTCTACTCCTGTCCCACTCTGGGACTTCACACACTTGTCCGTTCCTGTTATCCACCTCCCCCTCACCCTGTGCATCCTGACTGAAACACCACTTCTCTCCAGGTGTCCCTAAGACCTCGCCGCATTAGGTCTCCCATTACCCTCAGGTTCACTTTCCCACTGCATTTGCCAAACGTATAATTATGGTCTGCTGTCCACATGAGGGAGCCAGGAGATGGCCTTAGGAAGCAGGGACAGGGGATGGCGGAGGAGAGAACCTCCGCAAGGCAGGGGAAGAAGGAAGGCTTGGTGCGAGGGGCCTGGGTGCCACGGGGCTGGTGTGCAGAGAGCACAGGGCAGGCGGGCTGCTATGGGGGGCAGCCCTCCATGAGAGACGGCTTGAGCAAAGGCCACACTTGTCCATTCCAGACAGCTCCAAATCAGCCTTTAGATAGAAAACCGAGTCTGATAATGTAAAAATATCACAATCTCAAGGAACCCAAGTTAGGTTCTGCAGTGAAACTTAATTACATTTTTGTTCAGTTTTAATGAAAACGCGAAAAGGCCTTTATACATTTTCAGATTCTATCTCACCAAATATGTTTTTTCTTTTTGGTACCAGGTATTGAACTTGGGACCTTGCGCTTGCGAGGCAGGCACCAGAACCACTGAGCTACACCCCTGGCCTCCAAATATGTTATAATAATTTTCCTCTAAACAAAAATAAATAAATAAATTTCTTAAAAATTAGATATTAATGTCAGGACTTGTAACTTTATAAGTTTATCATTAGACAATGTAAGTAGAAGATTCCTTAGCATTTAAAAAAATATCCTTTCGGGTTTACTAAAATCATCACTGTGTGAACCGAAACCACAAGCTAACATATGAAACATGAAAAACTGTTTAATTTCTTCTTTTACAAAGTTGAGAAATAACATTTTTCCAATTTA